GTTGTTGTTGTTGTTGTTGGGACCTTCACTGGTCCTTGCACGGCCGGGCCGCCCGGGGAAACAGGGTGATAACTCCTTGATTCTTTATTTTCCTGTTCTTCCTTTCGGTCAGAGACAGAATTGTCATGCAAGGCATGCATTGCAGAGCAGATTTTGGTGATTCTATGTGCCAAAACTAACCTTGTGTTTCAGGAGAAGGGCCTAAGGCTTGTATTTGCCCATACAGCTCCACGGCTGTGATAACGATGTCATTAGGATCATTCGGATTCAAAATAAGCCGAACGCTCCTGCGTGATGGACGATCAAACCCTGGACGGAAAAGCTTCAGTGCCAAGCTCTCGAAAACCTTGTACGATGCGTTGACAGGGAGTCCATCGATTTGGATGTCAATGGTGCTAGCGACCGGTTTCGTGCTGTTAAGCTGCAAGAAGTACAGGATCATGAGATACTGCGCCGCCGGTTCCGTCTCGATGCCGTACAGGACGCTTACATTATCGAAAACGCGTTGCGTGCTCCAAACATTGCCTGGCACCCAAGGCAATTCATCTCTTACAAAAGCATAACTTGAGTCGCTCACAATCCGTGTCCTATAGTTACTTCTATTGAAGAGTGACGAATCAGAGTCCCACCAAAATGGATTCCCGTCTGTGTTGTTGCGCACCCCCTCGACATGACCTCCACAGTTTAGACGCCCTTCGAGTCGCAAGAACATGTCCTTCTCAAGCTGACAGTACGAGAAAAAACGGCTGTATGATTCATCTACGGGTATCACCTCCATCGCATTGATCTGCGCCCACGGTCCATTGTAGTCTGAAAAGCTCAGATTAATGTTAGGTTGCCAGGGGTAAAACAGGAACTCCTTAGTGATTACTATCACCCCGTTGCTGGTATCGTTTTTATAAAAAGAGTAGCCCTCTGCCGATGGAAGCCGACGACCCACCGTTGTCACATTTACCAAGCCATTTACATTGACATTGAAGTGGTTTTCATTTAAAGTGCTATTGATGAACGCAAAATGCAGCCTCATTAACACAAACTGACCTTGGGGTACTGGTATGGTGTACGCCAACCCCGATTCATTGAATCTTCGGCACGTCCTCCAAGGGAAAGCCAATGGAAACTGATACTCGCCTATTGTCTCGTTATTGAAGAAGTTGTAAACATCTCTGCCTGATGCGACGTTAGCCGGATAACTGGGCAAGCTGCTCACAACAAAATCTTTATCACTCACCCAACTCCCATCACCGAACTTCTCATTGCTGGGCCAGCCACACGAAATGCGTAATACTGCACAAGCAAACCACCAGAACGCAACAATCTCCACCGATGGTAAGTGATCTTCGTTTGAGACGGGGTGCCTCACCAACATTATTATATTCAATTCATTGTCACCAAGATTCCATCTCATGATTCGTTCACAACCAATAACACGGTTACCATTCGGCCACATGAGCCGGGTCAAAAGCACTCTTTCAGTAGCCAACCCTCCGTTCACTCCGACCATAAGGCAACTTCTCGTCAGAGAGGCATGCTCTTCGTGCTTCGCCTCCCTTCGAAGGGGTTGGTTTCCTTCCCCTTCACAGTTTTTGCGATATCCTCAGACGAATTACGAAAAACACAAAAGAGAAAAGAGAGCGAACAAAACGATAAAGAGCAAGAACAACATCACATCAAATCACACAGGTCAGAAGAGCTGGCTACCTTTCTATGGTTCATGATGATGTTGAACCCTCGCAAACTTCAGCCTCTTTGCAAGTTGCTAGGCCACCGGAGGTACAAAACAGGAATCTTTTAATCAGCCCGACGGCACAAACATGGATACATAATGATTATTATTGTCACAATTTGTCAATTACATAAATGTATTATTTATAATTTATTCCGTACCTGCGTAGCATCGCACTCGGGCTCGGTGACCGAACCTGAACGCTCGGTACCGAGCCCGAACGTGGACCAAAATGGACCGAGCCCCAAACATTTTTAATTTTTAAAATTCTTAATTTTTTTTATATATAGGGGTTGGGGGCTCATGGGGGGGCATGGCTCATCACTCCTGAACATACACACACACACACCATACACACGCACCCCCAAACACCCCACACACACCCCACACACACGCCATACACCACACACACAAGAGGACACGCTCGGCAGCCCCCATATTTTGCGCTCGGCCAAACATGTTCAGTTCCCGCTTGCCCGAACGTCCGAACACGTTCGGCTGCTCGGTGGGGCGCCGAACATGTTCGGTGTGCTACACAGTTCCGTACTAATCTTATCATCATGATGATCACAATTCAAAAAAGAATCCAAACCGTGTTTGACAATAATGATGTCAACATGTTTCACTCTCCAAGCAGACAAAATTTGCAACGACAGCGGGCAAACACTCCCTCAAAATCCCAGCAATGATAATGTCACACGATGTTTCTAGAACCCCTGCAAGCCTCACCGTGGGCCGGTCAGGTCCAGGATTACATTGCACTCCACAGCACGTTTGTGCTTCACAATCCACTCATGACAACTAAATACCTCCCTTTACAACGAACGAATTCACCCTCCAGCCATTCGTTCAGCACAAACCTTTGCAACTTCACTATCGACTCATCACATGGGCGAACATTCCCTTTCCACAATTGATTCACACTCAACACACTCATACAGCACAAAGCTTTTACAAATCAAAAGGTGCATAGCCACCTTCAAAGAAGAAGAAAGGAGGAGGAGGAGGAGGAGGAGGAGGAGGAGGAAAGAGAAAAAGAAGAAGGATGAGGAGGAGGAGAAGAAGTAGAGGTGGAAGAAGAAGAAGAAGAAGAAGAAGAAGAAGAAGAAGAAGAAGAAGAAGAAGAAGAAGAAGAAGAAGGAGGAGGAGGAGGAGGAGGAGGAGGAGGAGGAGGAGGATGAAGTGGCTGTCAGCTGAATACAACACCTGGTGATGTTGGCAAACAGCTTGATAGTCTGAGGTTCAAACCATGTGGACCAAAGAGGTTTCTCTCTCTCTCTCTCTCTCTCTCTCTCTCTCTCTCTCTCTCTCTCTCTCT